CCCATGGGCCTCTTGTCCAGCCTTCACAGCACACTAAATTTCAACATAAGATTCTGCCCGAAGTGCTCTCCGGTCGAGAAGGAAGTACTCTAAAAATCAACGAATAGAAAAAGCTCTTCTCGAGGGAACAGCATCAGGGAGGGATTTGCATGACCGGAGCATCCGCTCATTCATCTCATCCGGATTCGTGTCGTTGTTCAGTGCATATGCCCTGCTGCTGTCATGCAAATCACAAATCACGAGTTATCGCAGAAAGCTGCCGAAATTATTTCTCTCATTCTCTGGTTACTAGTCGATCTCCATCCGGGTTATGAACAGAACATATACTCCCTCCATATAGGAAATAAAAGTCGTTTAGAACATGATTGTGCTTACCAAGGTGTCATTAATTAAGTGGTATTTTTCCATGTTTACCCTTATTAAATACGTCTGTGGGTGACTCCTAGACGAGAAACGATTCGTGAGCTGGACTGGTCGGTGGGTGGGACTTGAGGCTTGCGGGCGTGGTTCGACTCCTTGGCGGCGTTTTTTTTTTTAACAAGATTTTGCATGGGTCTGTGGAAAAATTGCATGGCACTTGTGAACGTCGGGTGGGATGGTTTGGCGCGTCGGTAGGCTGGTTTGGGCGCATTATCTTGATTTTGGCATTTGTCGCTCTCGTTTTCTTTGTTTGTTGCTATTTTTTTTCGCGTTTGCTTCGTTGGCGCTCACGGCATTTCAATTACGGCGGCGCCGAGTACAACGCTTGAGTCCTGCTTATTCTATTTAAGACGCTTGACGCTTGGAGTCCGACGCTTGCATCTACTACTTGCACGCTAGCTTCTTCCTTGCACGCCTAGCTAGCTTGCCTGCTTCTTAGCTTGTTGCTATCCTATCGACATGGCTTAGCTCTTGTTCATCTACTTCTTCCACTCTACGGCACAATGGCTAATTTCCTTCCTGCGTTTGATCTCAACGTTCGATTAGAAGACGATGACGACGGCGACGTTGCATTTGATCTCAACGACCCTCCGTTGGAACATGACAACGGTATTACTTGTTCGTCTCTTGTCCATTTTCTACCGTGCTATCTCTTCCTCTCAATCGTTTCTCATATCAAAAGGACTATTGTTACAGGATTTGATTTAAACTTGCCGCTAGATGAATTTGGTGCAGTCGATTTCAATTATCTACAAAATCTCGATGGTACGTTATTTTTTCCATATTATTTAAAATATGCACATGCCGTGGCTATTACTATTATGCACATGCCGTGACAAATAGATGAATGTGCTTGTTTTTCTCACTATAAATAGAACATGTTGCCGAACAATAGTGCTTGTTTTTTCACTATAAATAGAACATGCCGTGACTAGTAGAAGAATGTGTTTGTTTTTTTCACTATAAATAGAACATGTTGCCGACCAAGAGTTCTTGTTTTTTTCACTATAAACAGAACATGTTGCCGACAACTAATGCTTGTTTCCTTTTAACAGAACCTGCTGGGGAAAACCCCATCGTGCAAGAACAAGAGCAAGAACCCAACCGGAGGAAAGATATGACTGAAAAGCTCCGACAACAAGTTTACCAAGCTTTGTTGACTAGAAGCAATAATGGTACACTACACAAGAAAGATACTGCATTTGTTGCTGCTCAATTCTCTGGTTACTAGTCGATCTCCATCCGGGTTATGAACAGAACATATAGGAGTATAGGCGCAACTATATCTACAAGAAACAAGATGACAGCCATTATTAATCCAGCCAAAGAGACGACGACGACGACGACGAACAAATAAGAAGAAGAAGAAGGTGGTGATCGATCCATGCATGCATCGCATCTTCTCTAGCTGATCAAGCCGCTGCAAACTCAGCTCATCGTCGCCTGTAACTGCAATCGCTCCGACGGAACCTGACCGGCCTGGAGCTGCCGGGGTCGATGGCGACCGGGCACCTGACGCGCACGGCGTGCTTCACCCTCACAAGCCTCCCGATCACGTGCCCTCTGGTCTTGACGGCCAGCTCCAGCGTCAGCGGCACCTTCCCTTTGCCTCCGGCGTCGTTAGCCACCACAAGCGTGGCGCCGGCTCCGTAGAGCGGCGTCTTCTCGCCGTGCAGGACCGCGGCCGCGGCGCGGCGGCTCTTCCTCGGCTGGTAAAACTTGTGGAGCTGCAGAGGAGAGGAGAGAACAGCAGAAGGGGAGGGAATTCTTTCCTGCGTTTGTATCATGGTGAGAGAGATTGCAGTAAGGACTAAGGACGCGTACCTGACCGGTGGCGATGGCGATCTCCGAGTACATGAGCCGGATGGAGCTCGAGGAGACGTGGATGCCGAACATGGCGGAAGGGTTGTGGACGGACATCGCCAGCGAGCAGTTTAGTGTCACCAGCTTCGTCGGCACCCCGGTGCGGTCCGTGCCTTCCCCGGCGTAGAAGTTGTGCACTGTCAGGCTCTGCACACATGCATGGAACACACAGCAATCTTTAATTTGTAACAATAGGAACCTGACAGCATGAACAATAGGTATTTTTATTTAGAAAAAATAAGGATTTTTTTGGGTCTCTGCATATGATCAATGAATACGGTTCAGTTGATGGGAATGCATGAATTTAGGGAGTTCGGTTCAGTTGATGGGAATGCTGCGTGAACTTCAAAAGTTCAGAGATCACAATGGTCATTCATGCAAGAATGCAGATCGATCTTCTCGTAGTGGTGAGCATCCTAGAAATCGATTCCTTTGAATCAATACAATTCCTGCGCTAAACACGCACAGTAATCGATGTGATGTACCTTGGCGACGACGGTGGGTTTGTAGCGGCGAGCAACGCCCCAGACGACAAGGCAGGCGGCGGCGAACGCGAGGATCAATGCGCACAAGACCACCCCGCAGCACACCGGGAGCTCCTCCTCCTCCTCCTGCTCCTGGTCGACCTCGTCGTCTGACTCGTCCGCCGCCTCCTCGTCAATGACGCCGCCCACCTCGCGCCACTTCTTCTTCTTGTGGCCAGATCCGCCGCCGTGCCGCTTCTTCCGCCCGGCGCCAGCGGACCTGCCGGCGGCTGGCGAGGCGGACCGGAGCAGCGTGCCCGAGAAGCGGGTGGCGGAGGAGACCCTGGAGTGGCGGCCCGTGGAGGAAGCGTGCGAGGGCGAGTCGAGCGGGCTGTTGTACACCGGCGTAGTGTGCGCCGTCGTCGTCGTTGTCGACGACGACGACTTGTCGCCGCCGCCGTCGTGGGACGGGCTCTGCACGTAGTACGCCGGCCGCTTGTTGTTCGGGGTCTTGGGTGTCCGCGGCGGCGTCGTCGTCGCCTGGCTCGTCGCGTCCGACGACTCCGACGCCCCGCGCTTCATCGCGCCGGCCGGACGGACGCGCGGTTCGTTCTTGCTGAGAGTGAGACTAACAACCTGCAATATAATAATAATTGGGAAAAAAAAGCGTATGACTCTGCATCTGCGTTATGAAAGAACAAGGAAGGAAGGTAGCCGTAGCCAGCTGGCTTTTGGCGCCACTGTGGAAGAAGGTATACAAGATTGGTGAGGCAATGCCATTACTGCCTTTTTTTTCAGCTTGTGTTTTGTTGAAAATTGCATGTGCATTATGCCTGCAACTATGCACAAGCTATAGATAGGAACTGGGCAGGCAAGGCATTGTGGCGTGTGCAGGTAGAGATATCAAGTCCATCCAATCCCACACCGCTTTGCCAGAGATACTACTCAGTGTTTTGTCAATTCAAAAAATGCAAAAACAAAAATGCCATGATATGCTAGTCGTCAAGAAGAGCTTTGTTTGGACTTGCATTCCCAGAGAGAGAGAGAGAGAGACAGAGAGGTTCTTTTGGGAGTAACTATAGCCATTGCAATGAATGGATGGATGAAAAGGGTGACCCGTAATCTCAGTCACACGTTGCTATTACTACTTGACTGTAGCTTGTTGCATAGTACTAGGAGTATATACACATTGCCAGGTGGGCAGGGGGCGAAAAGGCACGTGTCAGTCACTGGCGAGCAGTGCACATAGGAGGAGCAGGTGGCAAGTGGAGTGGCGTCGCTGCTAGGTGAGGCGGACACGTGTCGGCACGAGGAGCGTGTGTGTCCGTGGAGCACAACAGAAGGTGCAGTGTCACGGACCGCATGTTCCGGGTGCACGTACTGTAGGTAGTTGAAGTCAAGACATTATATTGGAGCGCCAAGACAAGATGCATGGCAAAAGAAGAGGAGGAGGAGGCATGCACGCACGCACATGCACTGATGAGTGAACCTTGGAATGCAATGCAATAAAGCGCCAAGAACCAAACGATCGCTCGGCCGTGTGGTGTGGATCAGATGCGAGGCCGGCCGGGCACGCGCGGCCTGAGGAGTCAGCAGGATCCAGCGACAGAGACGACGGAGAACCACGCAAGGCAAGGTAGGCAACAGATGAATCGAATCACGAGGCCATGCGCAGAGGAGGGAGCGAGGGAGGAAGAAGGAAGATGGATGTGGATCCATGGCGGAGAGGGCGCTTGCTTGCTTACCTCTCCTGTGTTCTCCTGCTTCCTGTGCCTCTTCCTCAGCTCCTCGTCGTCTAGATCTCGTTCTCTCTGGACTCTGGTGCGTCGTCTTGGTCGCCGCGAGAAATGGACGGGACGGGAGGTGAGATGAGGCGTTGGGTCCCCGTCCTTCCGCTGGGCTCACTCCTCAACGTGATGAGTAGCATGCTACCCCACACGTCAGTGGGGCTGGGACTCTCTTGCTTCTTCTCCACTTGGCCGCCCCGCTGGTCGTGCGCGGGGCCAGGTCGTCAGCCACAGCCGCTGCATGCATCTCCATCCCCCATTCGTGTATATATGCACTGGCTACTCTCTCGTCACGAAGAATCGACAACATTTCAGTTTCATTTCACAAGCGGCGATCATTTCGACACAAAACATTTCAATCCCCACTAGCTGAGGGAGTTCATCATCAGGCGCTGGCGCGCTGCGCCTACCTGCTGTTATTCAAAACACCACGCGCAGCCAGCCGTGCCGACGAGGCTCGGACTCATCAGACCACCGGAGTCAGCAGCGGCTTGCTGAGCACGTGCGCCTCGAGGTTCCCCAGCACCAGGTCCGCCATGGCCTTGCGCGTCTCGTAGGTGCCGCTGCCGACGTGCGGCACCAGCACGACGTTGTCCATCCCGAGCAGGGCCTCGGGGACGTTCGGCTCGTCCTCGAACACGTCCAGCCCGGCGCCGCCGAGCCGCCCGTCCGCCAGCGCCGCCACCATCTCGGGCTCGTCGACGTGGGGGCCGCGCCCGACGTTGATCAGCACGCCTTTCGGGCCCAGCGCCTCCATCACCTCGCGGCTCACGATGTGCCGGGTCGACGCGTTCAGCGGGCACGCCACCACCAGCACGTCGCTGTTGGACGCCAGCTCCACCACCGTCGGGTAGTAGGTGTAGTTCGGGTACACCGACTTCTGCTCCGTCCGCTGGTGGTAGTTCACCGGGCAGTCGAAGGCTTCCACGCGCCTCGCCACCGCCTGCCCGATCCTGCCCAGCCCGATGATGCCCACTCTCTTCCCGCTGAACTGCAATGCAATGACGACACGAAGAATTCTTTGCGTCAGGAAATCAGAGCTGAATATGTCAATGATGCGCATTACTAAGTCAGCAAGGTTGACAAAAAAAAGGGAAACATCCATTCATGACAGCAAAGTGAAGAATGCATCATGCTCATTGCACTGGCCACACCACACAGCAAAAGATAAGAAGAAATGATGAAACTCCAAATCATACGCCAATGTGAGTATCTCCATAGATGATAGATGCTCTTATTAATCATGTCTGATCGAGTAACAACCTGACTTAAAAAGGAGAACAGCATGCCCCTGGAGATGGCAGGCTGACTAGTAGCAAACTAAAAATAGCAGAGTGCAGAGTTGGGATTACAAATCATAGTGTCATGACCTTCAACTAATCTCCGATCGACCAAGTGCTAGCGACAATCATATGTCAATGTGAGAGTATCTCCATAGATAGGTACTCTTATTAATCATGGCTGATCTGAGTAACAGCCTACTGACTGGCAAACCAAAAAAAAAAATAGCAGAGTGCAGAGTTGGGATTACAACCACAGCGTCATGTTCTTCTACTACTAATATCTGACCAAGTGCCTACCAGCAACAATCAGATCACCGGAGTGAGCAGAGGCTTATTCGTCGCGTGCGCCTCTAGATTTCCTAGCACTAGGTCAGCCATCGCCCTGCACGTTTCTTCAGTGTCGCTGCCCACATGAGGCACCACGACGACATTATCCAAACCGAAAAGCCGCTCCGGAACCACGGGCTCGTGCTTGTACACGTCGAGGCCTGCTCCTCCCAGGCGTCTCTCGACGAGCGCGGACACGAGCTTGGGCTCGTCCACGTGTGCTCCGCGGCCAACGTTTACGAGCACGCCCTCTGGACCCAACGCATCGATGACCTCACGGTTTAAACAAGCAACCTAACCGAACCTTGATTAAGTTTGACAGATGACTAACCTGATTACATGTAATGTCATCAGGAACAATGCCAAAAAAGTTCCTACGGATAGGGTTCTCCTAGTGAAAGGTGATAAAAAACACAGCATCCAATGTTTTCATGTGCAGATGCGATAACCATCTCTAGACCCCAGAAAATTCTCAACCTACAAACATCAACATTAAAAGGATGTGGTCCTCCCCATCTTCCATTTCCACTTGAAAGCACGTCATCCCGAGAAGCAACATTTGTGGCTTTAAGAAGCCCAACAACCCCTTTTAATTTCAGTAAGATAGGATCCAATTTTACCGTACCCCAGGGCTAGGCTAGTTCCGAAAATGTGACTGTTTAATCTGCCGAAAGCGCCTTCCACTCAGGTGCTGCCAATCTATGTTTTTCACATGGTATACAGGAAATGTTCAAATGAGACAACCAAATTTGAGAAAGGCAACATATGACATGAAACAAAATCATTTTATCTTTGATTGCCTTAGAATTTGTGCTCTCGTTCATCAACCCTATTGATATAGATAGTTCCCTCTTTTTATTCGGTCGTAACTCGCCCCTCTTGTGCTGCCAATAAACCTCGTCCTCACAGGAGTACTATCCTCACCTCAACCAATCTGTCTAAAGTAGACGCCTAATAGTACACAGAATATGGAACTGAGGTTCACACCGCCAAAGTACCAATTTATCATCATATTCACTATATACTAAAAAAATTACTAGATCGCAAAAGTACCATATACTGGATTCCTATTTTTTCCCCAATTCGTAGAATGAAGCACAGTATGTATGTATGGTACATCAAGGAAGAGATGAAATTCGGTATATAATGAATGAACAATTAATAAGGAGGAGAAGAAGAACAGGGAGCAGGGAAAACAAAGCGACGCACCCGCGTGGTGAGGGTGTAGTCGCCCCTGGACTTCCAGAGCCCCGCGCGGACGTAGCGGTCGGCCTGCGGGATCCTGCGGAGCACGGCGATGGCGAGTCCGACGGCGAGGTCGGCGACGTCGTCGGTGAGGACGTCGGGGGTGTTGGTGACCCGGATCCCGCGCTCGCGGCACTTGGCGAGGTCGACGCGGTCGATGCCGACGGAGAAGGAGGCGACGATCTCGAGCGCCGGGAGCGCGTCGATGAGCGCGGCGTCGGCGCCGTAGTTGGCATTGCCGACGACGGCGCGGACGGCGCCCGCGTGCGCGCGGAGGAACTCATCGCGGGGCGACTCCCAGAAACGGTACAGGCGGCAGCGGCGGTCCAGCTCCTGCTCCAGGTACGCGTTCACCGGGTAGAGCAGCAGCACGCCCAGGGACTCCATCGGCGGGCGCTGGAGGTGGACTGGAGGAGGGCAGGAGGCGGCGGACAGAACGGCAGGCGTGGTGTGGTTGGGGCGTGATGATGAGGTTGGTGGATATATATATACGAGAGAATTCCCGTGAGTCATTAAAAAATAATCGTAATCGCCGGTGAGCACCGTAAAAGTCACTGCTTCAATTTTATATCACTTCCATCAAATTGGACTCTAACGATGTCACACTGCAGCTATGAAAAGTCAAAAATACCCTTAAATTTAAATATGTCATTAAATTTTTTAGCATCTTAACGACTTCAAATGAAAAAACTCAAAACTAAAAAGTTGTAAATCTGGTCGAGATCTATAATTTTCATATAAAAATTATCTTCTTTTAATACCGCAAAAAGATATAATTTTTCTAAGATATATTAATCATATCAAATCATATTTTTTTGTGAAATTAAATAAAAAAAAAATTTCTATGAAAATTATAGATCTCGGCGAGATCTACAACTTTCTAGTTTTGAGTTTTTTTATTTAAAGTCGTTAAGATGCTCAAAAAAATTAATGATATATTTAGACTTGGGTATTTTTTACTTTTCACACCTGCAGTCGATAGTGGCATGGAGGGAAAAAAAGTTGGAACAGTGACGCTGAAAACCGCTAAACTTTTTTAGTGAGTCATAAGGATTGTGATCTTTTTTTAATGGCTCATAAAAAAATTTCCCATATATATATAGGGCAACGTATCAGGTACAAACCAACCAACTTGTGCAAACTTGGAAACTACTGATTAGGACTACTAGATACTGATCCAATGGATAGGATGAGAGGTGAGATTTTTTTGCGCTTAAGCCCCCACTCGTCGGCTTTTTTTTGCGCTTAAGCCCCCTCACCCCATTCATTGAATTAGCATCTAGTGGTCCTGATCGGTAGTTTCCAAGTTTGTACAAATTGGTTAGTTAGCACCTGATACGTTGCCTATGTATAGATATGTCCCTGACTGACTCCCTATGGTACGTGGAGATGTGCCTTAGTTGGTGCTCACAACAGATCCAGATGCCGGCTAGTTGGCATTGCAGCCGGCATGGCTTGAGTCAACTCCGGCTTCCCCTGTTGGCGGTACTGTAATGGTGCTACTATAAAATCAAATTATTCTAGAAATTTGATCAAAATTTAAAAAGTTTGACTTAAGACAACTCTTAAAATCTATTTTACTTAGGGACAGGGTGAGTACTATATCTTTATAAAATGAACTACTCCCTCCATTTTAAATTATATGTCATTATAACTTTCTTAAAAAAATCAAAATATCTAAAGTTTGACCAAAATTATAGAGAAAATTATAAATATTTGTAACATCGAATATGTATACTATAAAAATATAATTAATAAAGAATCTAATATTTCTTATTTGGTATCATAAATGTTATTATTTTATTATATAAATTTGGTCAAATTTAAGATGTTTTGACTCAAAAAAAGTTAAAATGACTTATAATTTGGAATAGAGGGAGTAAAAGTTAGGGCTAGTGAAAGTTCCATGTTGAGTTTTGGTAATTGAGACAATCAAAGTGGACTAACCTTTGCACTTAGTGTTGTGTTTGAGATAGGTTGGTCCACATCCAAGTTGAGCTAGATGGCTACCATGGAGAGATGGTGGGAGGCCAAGTGGAGATCAAGTGATCAAGTGCTCCAACTTTAAAAAGAAGAAAGAGAAAAATAAAATAGGGCTCAAGGCAAAGATATAAGACCTAAGGCCATTTTGTTTTGCCGGTCAAGACACTATAGAGAGTATGACCGGGTTTAGGATAGATAGTCGTATTATTAAGAGGGGAACTCGTTGCAATTACGGTTATCAAGTGCCACTAGGTGTCCTTGACTTCATGCATGTGCATCTAGACCTAGTGAGTTAACAAACCCTTGGAGAGTGGCTTAAAATCTTGCTAGCTCACGTACACAAGTGTTGAAATACTTGGAGCTAGCACCTATGCACAAGGGTGGAGAGAATTGAGCAAGAGGGACGTTTGAACTTGCATCAGACAGATACCACAGGGCCATCGCACAAATGACCATGGTGTCCGATGCCTAACCCGGCTCGGGCCTGCGCTGGTGAAGCATCAAACAAGGAGGGCTTCGTACATCGAACTGTCCGGTGGAAAGTTTTTCCACGCGGGTCCCACCTATCAGTTTGTTCGCACGTGAGGCAGAGTGCATCGGACATCGGCTTTTGTCCGATGGCACCCCATCAGACGTGTCTGATGTGAATCGGGCAGCTTTGGGAGCTCTCTGGATCGCATCCAACAGTGGTGACATGTTTGTTCGATGAGCATCGGACATTGCAGTACGGTGAGAACCGTTGGGCACGCAACGGCTAGTTCAAACGGTCGTCTCCACATGGCAGCAGTACGTGCATCGGACACGGGCATGATTGTCCGATGGGAGGCATCGGACGTGTCCGATGCCCCTGTTTTTAGCCCAAGTGAGTAACGGCCAGTTGGCTTGGTTTTGGGCTATAAATAGATGGTGGTCGGCCCTTGGACGGCTCTCTTGGCTCTCTAACATATTAATACACCTTGTGAGCATAACCAAGACTCTCCCACTCATTTCCTTCATAGTTTGATCATCAAAGTGAGATTGGGAGTGATTCCAAGTACATTTGCTTGAGTGATTGCATCTAGTGGCACTTGGAGATCGTTGTTGCTGCAGTATTCTTGTTACTCTTGGTTTTTGCCACCACCTAGATGGCTTGGAGCAGCATGGATCGTTTAGCGGCTATTGGTGATTGTTGCCGGCTTCGATCAAGGTGATTGTGAGGGGTTCTTGTGCCTATCCTCGTGGGAGATCGCAAAAGGAAACTCTAGTGGATTGCTCGTGGCTTGTGTAGCCTATCTTGTGTGGTTCTTACGACGCCCAAGGTGTGGGCTAGGCGTGTGATGTCTATTAGCACGTGAGCCACCAAGTTAGTGTCTCGTCACAACATGGACGTAGGTTCTCGGAAAGCAACCGAACCACGAGGATAAATAACGGTGTTCATATTGTTGATCTTATTGTGATTGTCTCTTACCCAGCTTTGTTTTGCTCTCCCTCTATCACTTGTATTAACGTTTCATAGCTCATACTTGTTAGTGTGCCTAGTTATTGTGTGGTTAGTTAGCTAGTAGAGTAGCCTCTCTAGTTGTAACTAGTTGTTCTAGCTCACTAAGGATTACTTGTTAGTGTGACTAGAATTATGTAGGTGGGCTTGCTTGAGTGCTAGTAGAGCTAGAGCTTTGCAAGAGCTTAATTGTTGTCTAACAAGTTGGTCTTGTGATTTGTCGATTTTAAATTAGGCTATTCACCCCTAAAAGCCCTAGTTTGGTTTTGGCTAATTGATAAAACCTATGAACTAATCCTTGATCTAAGTGTGTAGACAAGATAAGATGGTCCAAGACCAATTCATGTGGTTGGCAAGGCACTAGTGTGGTCGGCTAAGCTTAGGTGTGATCGACAGAGACATTGGAGTGGTCGGCTATGATGATCAAGTGCTCATCATGTTGAAAAGAAAAAATAAAAAAAACAAAAATCATGGTGATCAAGGCAAAGGTATCAAATAGGTTTTTGTTTCACCGCTCAAGACACCATAGAGGGTGTGAGTGGGCTTAGTATAAATAGTCGTACTATGAAGAGGGGAGAAATTCATTGTGAAATGTGGTTATCAAAGTGCCACTAGAAGTTCTAACTCATTGCATATGCATTTAGATTCTAGTGAGTGGTAAAACCCTTTGAAAAATACTTTGGAAAATGCTAACACACGTGCACAAGTGGTGGAACACTTTGGTGTTAGCACTTGGAAGTAAGGGTGGAAGAAAGGAGTTGAAAAGAAGAGAAGAGAGAGCTCCAGACCCTAGGGTGTCGATGGTCCGGACCATCGCTGTTGGGTCCAGAACCTTGCCCTAGGGACACTGTGCTGACAGCATGGCTCCAGACTCTAGACACGTGGGGCGTCTAGACCATGGCCCCTTGGTCTGGATAGAGGCCCCAACCACATGGGGAGTAGCGAAGAGGCAAGGCAGCTCCGGACGCTAAGAATTGGTCCGGACGGTGGAGTTAGATGGAGTCCGGGACCATTTTGCCCCTCTAGACCCTTCTTTGAGTCGTTCGGGACTCTAGTGGCGCTTGGTCCGAATGAGCACTATGCTCGGTCCGGACCCACGGTCCCACACACACAGGAATGGAGCCGTTGTGCGGCAATGGTCGTCTGCATTTCAAACAGGACACGTGGCTCGCTGCCACTGGCGGCCAAGGGGGTCTGGACCCTTGCAGCCTTGCTGATTGGCCCGGACTGCCCAAGCTTTGGTCCAGACCCTCGGTCTGAACGGCCCGTAGAGTATAATGGCTAGTGAGCCTTTGGGACTGTATAAAAAGAAGATGGTTGGCTCTAGTTCACTCTCTTGCACATTTACATCAGTGATACAACCTTATGAGCCTAGCCATTCCTCTCTCACTCATTTTGCTTGATTGATTCATCATTTGGTGAGATTGGAGAGCATCCAAGTGCATTGCTTGAGTGATTGCATCTAGAGGCACTTGGTGATTGTGTTTCGCTGTAGATTTCTCTTGTTACTCTTGGTGTTTGCCGACACCTAGACGGCTTGGAGCAGCATGGATCGTTGAGCAGAGGGTGTTGCTTGTCTCCGGCTCTAATCCATGGATTTGTGAGGGTTTCTTGAGCCTTCCCCGTGGGAGATCACGAAAGGCATCTCTAGTGGATTGCTCGTAGCTTGTAGATCTATAACACCCTCGGTGTTACACCATAAATCATTTACTAAAACATGTCATGAGCATCATGTTTATGTGTTAATGTGTGTGATAAAGTGTGTAGATCAATTTCTGTAACTTGAAATGATCAACTAAAAGGTGAAACGAAAGTTGATTCGATAGTCATGTTATATCACTTAGGGTTTAAAACCATTTTTTATTAAGCAAAAATGCTATAGAACATATATGGGTCACCTTAATAAAGTTAGAAGTACAAACTTTGT